GTCATGGTTTTCAGACATTCCCATCCACACCTTGATCATACGTCTGTACCTTCATGGCCTATATTTTGGGACATTCTGTGTAGTAGACTTGCTTTTCATTAGGAGATGGATTCCTGGTAGTAGCCAGACAGAAAATGAGGCATTTATTTTGGAGTTAAGCTGATCAGATTTTCCATGTGGAATGCAGCTACATGTGATTTACTTTTAGAAACTTTTCTCCATGTGGTTTGATGTATTATTTGATTTTAAATTCCTCAATGATATCTGCCCTTGATTTCTGGTATAAATTTAGTTATTTTTGCTATCTGCATGAATTAGAGGTTTTACAGATGTTTTTTATTTATATTAAACTCCTGACTTGGTTTCCCATGAGGAAAGCTTTTCAGTGTAGTGGCATCTGCTCCATATGTGTCTTTAATGAAAATAGCCTTTCAGACATCTGTTAGGCCTGTTAAAAATAGAAGAATTTGGGAAATTCAGCCTCTTCTTGGATGATACCTTTTTAGGAAAATATCATTGTCTGGATTCAACCTGGAGAAACAGAAGCTTTCTCTGCATTCCAGACTAATCAATATGTCAGTACATCTAACTGTATTTTTTGGATAAGGCAAAGAAAAAAAAATACCCCTTTCTTTTCCTAGTAGAACATACCTTTCTGCAAATTTCAGCATGAAGACTGTAAACTCAGCTTGTTTTGACAGCTGTGTTGTAGCCCCCATTGGCAATTCTGAGATCTGCTCACTGACCTTGCTGGTCCATCTTTGTCGAACATAATGCAATCCTAAACAGTGCCAGGGATTTTCTGCACTGTGTATCAATGCACTGTCATCCACTAGACAAGGAAGGCTGCCTGTATGCAGCTCGGAGGTAATTGATAGATGTTGTCCTTACGTCACTTAAAATACACTCCCTTTGTTTCTGACCTGAATATCCTTTAGGAAAATCTTGGATTTGCAGGACAGTCAGTAGTGCAAATTCAAGCTGTTTATAATTCAAGCTGAAGAAACAGAGTAGCAGAACATGCCCTCTATCACTGCTAATACAGCTGAAAAGTCATGAACTCAATGGCTTGCATGTATACATATATATATGTGTGTGTGTATATGTTTAGAAAGACTTTCTGATTTCTTGTAGGTAATTTTAATTTTGAGTTGGCAGTTCTTTGCTTTGTTATCATTTATTTGAGAAAAAAGAGTGTGTCAAAGGTGAAGAAAGATGTACTATTTCCACAAAGCCATAAAAACATCTCAACAAAAATACTATTCTTTTATCGTGAATTGGCTTCCCATACACTGAAGTATTGTTTGATCTTTCCAGAATGCTGCTGGTCTTCACCAAGATTTAGGCATGTTGGCTGTCCATTTCAAACTGAGCAGCATGTTCTTTTATCTTCTTTAAACATGATAAAACATCTGTTAAGGTATCAGTCCTTCCTTATTTGAAGCTTTTTTTTTTACTTTTCAAGTGCCTGAGTCTAAAGAAAAGAGTCAGGGTTTCACACTTTTTACCTCTGCACTCTGTAGAGTTCACTGATGTTGCAGTGGTGAAAGCCATACATTCTCCACAGGCATCCACAGGGGACGCCATTCCAGTTTACTCTCTTTGGTTGGCTTGGCTATAACTGATATGTTACTTTTTGAATGGGAACACTTACAGGTGGTCTGACAGCCTCAGCACTGCTGATCCTTTTAAGGAAAGTATGAAACTGAAACCCTTGCAGTGTTTTTCTCTATGACCTTGTGACAGGAATGAATCCTCTTCAGTGATCAAAATGTAGTGTTAGTGTAGCTTCTGAGACATGTTCCTTTACTTGACATCAACAAAGGAGACATGGAAAGTACACATATATCAGATTGCACACTCTTGTAGTTGCCTCATGATTTATGCTGTATTTGAGAGAAAAAGCTGTCTTTGCTGTTGGATGTGAGATCTGTGAGAGTTACTACTGGGCAGCTCAACTCGTGTCAGTTTCCATTTGGACTTACATGTAGTCAGACCATTCCTGTATGCTATTACTTGAGAAATAGACTATTCATTACCCTTACACTGAGTTCTCTGACTTGTGTAAGTTCCTAATTCAGCTTCCCTTTTAGTTATTTGGATTGTCTGTTTTCAGGATTCCACTATAAAGACTTAAGTAGCCTCACGGACATCCTTATATGCTCATTATAAAAAAATATAGGACATTAAAAGAAGCCTGTCAACATTGCAACACTTAAATTCTTAGCATCTCTTGTGGTAAGGTGTGTGGATTTTAGTTTGAATATAATTATAGACTACATGTCACAAAGAAAGCCATATATTACTAAGGCAACTCTCCATCTCTACCCTTCTCAATAATTGATTTGTCAAACAGGTAAACAAATAGTACCAACAACATGCATTGTGCATGGATTTCAGACCATTTTGAATAATAATGATGAGGATGACACTATTACTACTAGTAATAATAATAATAACCCAGTGGCATTTCTGTTGTGTTTCTGGCATTTCGGTTTCTAATCTTTTAGGGTATGTATTTCTGCATTCCTCCTTAAGAATTACATACTCACATACGGGACATCCTAATTTATTGTAGTTCAAGTGATTCTGATGAAAACTTTGCACCTTTTACGCATAGGTGCATGCTCATGTTTGTACAACACATCTTTGTGGTCTAAAGTATCTGATTATTTCAGTATCAAGGATCCACCTGTCTGAAAAGCCAATACTCAATAAATGATACATCTTCTGCTGATTCTGTAGTGTCTTGATCTTGGTACCATTTAAAACCAATGCACCTTACATTGCATTTTGTTAGTTTCTATGGTTTAATATTAATGAATCATCTCTATTGCACCCTGAGTAGGGACAAATATTAAAAATCTGTATAACTTCAATGAAGCTTTGTGGGTTTTTTCTAGTCTAGTCTCAATTTTTCCTGGCTAACCAGACAACCAAACTTAAAATTAGGAATATTGTTCTCAATATGCTAAGAAGTAATAGTACATGTACAAATCTAGTAAAATAATCGAGGAAAAGTAGTTAAGAGTGATTCTTTGTGATGGAACTGGGAGAATGACTTCATGACAGTTGCCTCTGTCCAGTACCTTAATATTCTTTTAGGTAGTTATTCTTAAATTAGGTGTAAAGTTGTAAGAGTACTATGTTAATTTTATGTGTAGTTTAGGAATTTCTGTTTCTGTTTCACTACGAAATGCCTTATTCAAATTCAAGTCCCATTATCCTTGCTTATTCATACGTAAGTACAAATTTTACCACAGTTATTGGATGCTATTTCATGTATTATAAGAACAGAATATCTGCCTACAGTGGGCACTGAGCTAATAATGTTCAAACTGTACATTTTAAGTGTTTAACTTTAGGACCAGGCTGGAGACAGCCTGCGGACTAAAGCACAACAGTTGATTTTCAATCTAGTTTAATCTGAAAGACATCCTGTTTCTGTACTCTGCTCTGTGATGAAAAACAAAGTATGGTGAGTGGAAAGGATTTCTTATTTTACACCAAGATTTCATATATGAACTAAAATGCAAATAGTATGTTTACTTCAATGGGACAGCATCAGGTGGATGCACAGCTAGGCAGGCATTTCTGAAGTGGGTTAGTAACATAAAATGTTCACTCCACCTGAATTTATTTTCTTCTACTGTCACAGTAAAACCAATAAAAGAGACTGTAAATTCCATCCTCTTTGGCTTCTATATCAAACCGTTTGGATTAGACAGCCTTCAGTTTCACTTTATATTGAAAATGGAAGGAGTGTCACCATTACCCTTTTCAGAGTCTGTTTTGAGATGATCAGTACCATATGACTTAGGAACTTTGCACTGTCAGAGGAATTTTCACATTGATAGACTAGATACGGTTGAGAAATATTCTATAAAACCTTAGGTGTCGCTGTGGTCTAGAGGGGGATATTTCCAATTTAAAGGCCTGAGTTTAATGCCACTATATGAAGGCTATTACTTTGTTGGAGAAGTGCCAGTATTATTGCTTCTTTTCTTGCATTGAGAAGTACTGATATCTGGAAACCATAACATATTCTTTATTAAGGACAAAAAAACAGCAAAACAAAATTAGTTTAGGATTTCAGAAATTGTCAAGGAATTACTGCCTTGAACCTTGCCTTGAGAAGGAAAAAGAAAAGTATGGGGAAGGAGATCTTATGGAATTCATGAAATTGATGGGAAAACAGGGATAGGGAAAAATGAGATAAATAGCTCATGGAAGAATTTGAGACTAGTGTTTCTACTGTGGATGTAGTAAAAAATGTGCAAAATACGTCTGGAATGAGAATTGAGTGACTTAATGTTTAGGACGATTGAAACTTCCGTTGAAAATACATGACCAGTAAACCGTAGAAAAGGCCAAGTCTTTTGGGTATGATTTACATAAGCTACTGTTTTCCTGGGAGCATTCTGCTGTACCTAATTAACTGTATTAGGTGAGTGTACAGTAGTATAGTGGGATATGAATATTGGTATATACTAGCATATGCTATATTACATGTTTCATAGCTGAGATTTTTCAAAACTGTTATATTCCAGCAAGTTTATAATAAGCTGTTATTGGAATCAGCTTTCAAATATTTGCACCAGAAAATGAGATTTGCCTTGTTTTGGTACATCCTGAGTTATACGAAATTTGTGAACTACTTTCATTTCTTTGCAGCTACTGGGTCATAAACATGGATTAGTTTTATAGGATTTGGTATATGAGTTGACAGATGTGATATATGATGACACTTTATCTTTTATTGCTTACACATACTAGTTATTTGGAAAGGATGGGGGCAGTTCCTATTAACCACAGGATGGGATTTCAGTTGCTTACCCAAGTGTCTCTCATTCATTCATTCATTTGCTATCAGTTATAGCAGATATATTGCTTCTTCAAGCCTGTCACACCAATAAATCATTTCAGATTGTATGCATTTGTACAGTGCCAAAGTATACGATGAATTTTAAAGGAAATCTCCTGTTTTTCTTTTCAATCAGATGAGCAACGTGAAGAGACTACGGCCACGGCTCAGTGCTATTCTTTTTAAGCTTCAGTTTGAGGAGCAGGTGAATAACATCAAACCTGACATCATGGCTGTCAGTGCTGCCTGTGAAGAGATAAAGAAGAGTAAAAGCTTTAGCAAGCTGCTGGAACTAGTATTGTTAATGGGAAACTACATGAATGCAGGTTCTCGGAATGCACAGACCTTCGGATATAATCTCAGCTCCCTATGTAAAGTGAGTTTTGAAAGTTCGTGTTGAGTATTACATTCACTTTTTCATTTGTTTTTATTATGCTGCTTAAATACTTGGTTTTATGTTTTTCCTGCAGTTATTTGTTTTCTATTTTTTTCGTTATTCTTAGCATTAGTTGATGGTTTGAACAATACAGCTAATCCGTGATTAGCCATCTTGAGATGGGCTTGCTTTTAAATTTTTAGATGATTCTATTTTGAGGGAATACTGAAAAATCCAAATCCAAACAAAATAAGGTTGTGAAAGGACTATATCACTGGGATCAGAGTAATGGTGTAGTTTTAATGTCTGAGCACTTCTAAGATATCTATCACATTTTAATATGGTTTAATACAGTTATGTTTTCTCTTGGACATACATTTTCTGCTCATATAATTCTCTTCTTTTGTTGCTCAGTTTCATCAGTTTCTTGTTTCTTCTAATTTTTCTTAAATTTTCACTCTTTCAACTTTTGTATAAGGTAAATACAAGAAAGCATCCATACTTTTCTGAATGTTAATTTATAATCCATTCTAATCCTAATTATCTTCCCCATATTTACTGTTATTTTTTTCCTGTGCCCTCTGGGAGACTATTGCAAAATCTACAGAGAGCACCATATGTGTAATAGTTCTTACGAGAAAGGAATAATTTGGAAGTTTGTATGTACTCTGTCTTCCAATTTCTTTATCTTTTCGCATAGGAGAAAATACAATATATTAACTTCTACATTCTTTAATCACCCTTATGCTGCCATATTTCGGAAGAATTCTTTCACTATGGTTTTTGAGTGTTGAATGTGATACCTATGACATAAATATTCATTGAGAATAAGTTATATACTTTCTCTAGTCTAAAGTAAACATTAAGCATGGGTCATCCACCTACAGAAATACAATTTGTTGAGAAACATATTCAGAAGGAAAGTACTAAAGGTTCACTCTCCAGTTAGGTGCATTTACTTCTTAGGTTTTACAAAAATCTGTCATAGGTCTGTTTATATTCTTTGTATTTTTAATGCACAAGACAACAAAAAAAGAAATATGAAAACAATGTGAAGGTAATTTTTACAAGCAGTTTGCAGAGCAGGATCAATAGTCAGAATTTATCTTGGAGGAATAATTTATTAAGATCTAGAATATGAAAATTTTGAAGGTAACCTTGGAGTATTACACATAGGAAAGAGAAATGATGTGTACAGATAATGAAAGTAAGGAGTGAATGGCCAAGCAGAATTTCAGAACAAGGGCTCCAAGTCCTGACTCACTCTACAGAGCTCTGTCATGAAATGCATTTGATAATCCAGGATCTTATAGTTAAAATAGAAACATAGAGTATACTGTAAGGCACCTATCAGGATCATCAAGTCCAACTCCTGGCCCTGCACAGGACACCACAAGAATCATACCATGTGCCTGAAAGTGTTGGCCAAACATTTCTTGAATTCTGTCAGACTTGATGCTGTGACCACTTCCCTGGAGAGCCTGTGCTCCACAGGCTCAAACACCCTCTGGGTTAAAAACCTTTTCCTGATATCCAGCCTAAACCTCCCCCAACTCAGCTTCATACTGTATCCTCTAGTTGTCACTGGTCATGAGTGAAGAGATCAGTTCCTGCCCCTCTGCTTCCCCTCCTGAGATTGTTGAAGACAGCAATGAGGTCTCCCCTCAGTCTCCTCTTCTCTAGGCTGAACAAACCAAGTGACCTCAACCACTCTTCATACAGCTTCCCCTCCAGACTCTTCATCCTCTTTTGGATGCTCTCTAGCAGCTTAATGTATTTTTTATATTGCTGTGCCCAAAACTGCACACCATATTCAAGGTGAGATCGCACCAGTGCAGAGCAGAGCGGGATGTTCCCCTCCTTTGACTGGTTGGTGATGCTTTACCTGGTGGTCCCTGGGACACGGTTGACCCTCCTGGCTGCCAGAGCACCCCCAGCTCCTTTTCCGCAGTGCTGCTCTCTGTCCTCTTGTTCCCTAGTCTAAACACACAACCAGGGTTGCCCTGTCACATGTACAGAATCTGTCACTTGCCCTTGTTAAACTTCATATGGTTGGTGATTGCCCATCTCTCTGATTTGTTGAGGTCCCTCTACAGGGCCTCTCTGCCCTCAAGGGAGTCAATAGCTCCTCCCAGTTTAGTGCCATCTGCAAACTTGTTTAGTATTCCTTAAAGCCCTGGTCATTACCGAAGATGTTGAAGAGAACTAGGCTGAGGATGGAGCCCTGAGGAACCCCACTGATGCCAGGTCACCAGTCTGATGTTGCTCCATTCACTATAACACAGATCAGAACCTGTGAACTAATTGCTCACCCATCACATAACATGGTTATCCAGCTGTGTGCTGGATGTTTTGTCCAGAAGGATCTGGTGAGAGACAGTATTGAAAGCTTTACTGAAATCGAGAAAGATTACATGGCTTCCCTTGATCAACAAGGTGGGTTTTCCTGTCACAGAAGGAAATCAGGTTCGATAAGCAAGACTTTCCCCTTATTAAGCTGTGCTGGCTGTGACCATTGACTGCGTTGTCCTCCAAATGTCCTTCAATACCTCACTGAATAATCTTTTCCATGATTTTACTGGGCACTGAAGGTCTGTAGTTTCCAGGATCCTCCTTCTTGCCCTTCTTGAAAATCGAGACAATGTTCACCAGCTTCCAGTCAGGTGGGACCTGTCCGGATTCGCAAGACCACTCAAAAATCATTGAGAGAGGCTTTGCAGTGACATCAGCAAATTCTTTGAGTATTCTGGGATAAATCCCATCAGGCCCCATAGATTTTTAGGGATCCAACTGGAGCAGCAGATCCTGCACAATTTCAGGGTTGACTGGGAGTTGATCATTCTCGCAACCATGGTCCTCCAGCTCAGGGCAACCTGAGTTCCTCAGATTTGCACACATACAGATTATTTCACCTTACAGGAGGGTACAACATTCTTTAGAGAGGGAAAAAATGTCTTTTAGTGTACCTTCTGTATATTATAAAGATGTTGATTATCTACTGCTTACATGGTGCTAATAAGTTTTTAAGTGAAGTCTTGTCTGAATTACTGCGAAAAATATATAGACTGACTGGTGAAAATCCATATGTAGAACTTTTAATCTAAGGAAAAAAACATTTGGGTGTATTTAGTTTAGAAAAGAAAGAAGAGGAATATGCGCTTCATTTATGCTCAAGAGAAATGTTGATCACTACCAGTAGGCTGTAGAGTAGATAAGTAGATACAAAGCTTTAAACACCAAAAAAAAGGTAATTTGCTTCCTATTGTCAAAATGTTTATTATGGTGTAATTTTGATATTATGTCATGCTGTGTGATTGGAAGTGCTGAGACTAGTTTACTCTTTTCAGGACTTAATTTTTGCATAAAGAGATAATGTCATATGTTTCATTTACATAAGAAATGTGCAAGTACAAAAATGATGTTCTAATGACACAGATTTTACATCTATTTCGTTTGACGTCACTTCATGCTAGATTGTAAATACCAAACCGTGGTGTGTAAAAACTTTTTGGGAGGGAAGATAATGCAACCTTAATGGTTGCTGAATGTGAATGCCTATGGCAAGGGGTTTGGACTAGATAGTCTTTAAAGATGCCTTCCAAGCCGAGCTGTTCTATTATGAGAAAAAAAACAAAACAAAACAAAAACCCCAGAAAACGAAATATTACAGATTTTGCTGTGAGTCAGAGCAACTATGACCACCAAGTCTAAGCAACTTTGAATTCATCTGTAAAATTTCAGATCTCTGTCACTAGATATCCCAGGACAAACGCAACCTACAATCAACTACTTGTACTTTTGAAGGTTGACAGATTTTTTTCAGAGAAAAACACTGGGACTTTGCATTTACTATCCTATGTGTATCAGGGTACTAGTCACCAATGCTTAACTTACCTCATCCAATTGTGGCCTCATTTAGGAAGTCCGTGAGTGCCAAGCCTTCACTGGGTATGAAATTGTCTTTTACACTGACAGATCACTTTGTCTGGAAACACAGAGGTAAAACTATGTATGTGTAATTTTGGGGATTTTCTTAACAATGTGTAGTGTCTTGGTTGATGCCTGATCTCTTCTGTTCTGAGAATAATGAACTAATATTAAACTAATATTAAAAATATTAGTATTAAAACAGGAAAATAACCCACCCGAACTAGTGTTCCTCCACAGCCCAAATCTAGAAAGCTACAAAATGCAGACTGTTTGGTTGTCTGCACAGCAGTTTTCAGTAGTTTTTTTTACAACCTAAGAAATTTTCCATGACTTCTGTCCTTCAAAGATATTGGTTTCTGTAATATTTAAAGGATATGCAATTTATCTGCTCTCTTCATTCGTGCCTAGCTATGCGTAGGAGATTATATGAACTCTCCACTTTGCAGAATATAATTCTGTATCCTGCTTTTTCCCTGCTTCATGTAGAATTGAACTGTAATAGTTCTTCTACATCAGAGAGCACCCATGCATATTCTCAGAAGAGAGATATGATATCGATATGCTAATACTCAGTCATTTATTAAATACTCATGTATTAAAATTATGTGCATGTTTATAACACAGGTTCATATTTATAGCTAACTTTTGTTAACTACATGTATTTTAAGCAGTGTAACATTGTAGAAATTTTGTGTGGTGTTAATGAGGTATCCTTCACCAAGATTCCCAATACAATAGAAGTAACTTATTTTGTAACACTGCATACAGTACAGATCCTAAAATATGGTTTTGGGTGTTGATATATATGTGTTGCATTTTCTGTTTATTTTGAAAATTATGTCTCACATCAACTTGTCTGAAGGAAACATACACATTCTGAAAGAGTATATCTCATTGTACTAAGATAGTATAATTTTGATCTTTGAAAATAATCACTGACTTTTTACAGTGAAGTGGGAAATATTAACCTCAGTGATAGCCACCATCCAAAATTCTTCATTTTCATTTACATAAAGTACAGAAAAAACCAAACAATATAATTTGGGTTTTTAATCTGATAATTTAAAATATTTTTAAGTGATGACTGAATGAAAAAAAATCTCTTTATAAGAAATTTGCAACCATGGGAAAAAAAAAAGGGTATGTATATTCAAATTGGGAATGATCTTACTCTTAGTTCCTGATTTGAAAAAAATTCCCATACAGCTCTGTTTCTGGTTTTCACCTCTCTTTCGAAAGAGAGGTAATTTTTCCTTTCTGCCTTGTTGCTGTAATTACTCATATTGTTGAACTTTGATCACTTGTATTTTTCATGTTAACCAAACTAAAGAACAGTCTTGAAGCTGAAACAAACTAACATAATTTTTCAGGTTAATTCCTTGTTGTGATACTGTGCTAAAAACTTTGTGCCTTGATATTCAGATGTTGTACAAGTCTTAGTGCAACTGTGGCAGCCCTTTAGTACTTATGCTTACTTTGTACCTATGTGCACAAATTATATACTTTTCCTGCTATATTGTTTTATCTAGAAATAGTCCTTAAGTAGCAAAGAAACACTTTCATATGTGATGTCATTTTCTATTGGTCAAAATCTCTTTGATTTAGAAGGACAACTCAAATGGAAGACTACAACAGAAATGTATAGCTGAGTGTTTGCCAGTAGTCAATTGTTAGTGGTTTTTACACAAGTAGCTGCAAGTTTTAAAATGGCCAGGCTTAAAAAAAATGTGAGATGTATAAAGGGTTCAAAAAGGTTTATACTTAAGAGATTTTGAAGTCAACTTTTTAAACAATGAAATCTCTAAACTCTTATTTACTGTATTGAGAATTGATAACAAGAAGCACTTGTGCAGGCTGTGTAACTTCTACTGCCGAAATATTGTTAGGCTAGAGTTAATTTCATGCACGAGGAAACAGATCATGTAATGGAGTGGATATGTGCATTATGTATAGTTAGATTCTGCTGATTTAGCTCTGATTTTTTTTTTTAGGCTTTTATGTGTTTGTTCACAGTTTTGCAAATACTCCTGTATTGTTTAAATAATTACATTTTTAAAAGAGATATGTGTACTGTTTTTGAGTACTGAACTCAAATATGGCATAGAATTAAAAAAAAATTAGTCTGATCTTCTTAGGGGTTTTTAGCAAGGTGGGAAATTAAACAGCCCATTACTTTGTTTTTTTTTTTAAAAAAACTACCACTTCAACAGTTTATTCTTACCTTTCTTGGATTCATAGTTAGTAATATATATTAATTATAAAAATGTATTTTTCTCAGTGTTTTTACATATTTTTTTTTTCCTAGCTGAGAGACACAAAGTCGGCAGATCAGAAAACAACATTGCTACATTTTCTCGTAGAAGTGTGTGAAGAAAGCTATCAGGATGTCCTGGATTTTGTTGAAGATTTTCAGCATTTAGATAAAGCTAGTAAAGGTTTGTGTAACTAACTAAAAGTTTTGGTTTTGATACATTAGAGTGTCTTGTGCGTGGAATGATGCTTGTTTTTTACAAAAAATATTTAAAAAATATACATTAATGGTCTATGTCATGGATCAGTAATTTGAGCTGCTGCGAATGGTCTTGAAGATACTTATTGTTTGGTCCTTTAACATTTACTACAGGATTTACCATTACATTTCTTCTAACATGTCTTCTAGAATCATGTTCCAAAATATATTTCTTTTAAAAGTTCTTTTCTATTAACAGAACTTAATTCCAACTTTCGTTCTTTTATACAGTAAGTGTATCACTCAGTGTCTTTTAATTTAGAAATGCAGAAAGGCTGGCATGCTGTCACTTAATTTTATTTTATTTTTTCAAAACATGGAACAGTTTTGTCTTCCCTGCATGTGTGTTCTTCATGCAACAGTAGCATTGAAAGTCTGGAAAAATTTTAGTGTTTCATCATGCAGTATAGAATATGGTAAATCTCAGTATAGAGATCAATGCATTTTTTTGCAATTAATTTTTTAATTAAGAATGTCTTTTCCATATTTTATCACAGTTTAAGTAATTTAAGCAGACTAAGCACTGAGTAAGACATTAATGCTACCTCAACACTGTCCTACTCTGTCAGGAAAAAAAAATCAGATGACTGTCTTGGTTAATAATTTTTTTAGTTTATATCAGTTTGGAAAGTATCACTGTTTATCTAGATTGCTCTATGTAGCATCACTCTTATGTCTCAGTCAGTCTCCCTACCACAAATTACAACTTTGCAAAACCTGCTTCTGATGAAGAACTTGAGATACTGGTCCTTTACATAGAGTTTACTTCCTGGTGTCCTAGTTCTTAAAGTTTCCAATTTTACTTCGTGCACTATAACCACTTAAAAGTTCATTTACTTCTAAATAGCTGTCAAATGTTTCAAGCCTTTCACCTAACTGTTTGTACTGGAAGTAGAAAGAGTTTCTGCTGTGTATGAATTTAACGTTTTCATCATAATTTGCAGTGTTAACTGGTCACTGATTTTTTTTTTCATTACCATGATGCTATTGTCTGTATTGTGGTTGAATTTTTTATATCAGGCAGGAAAACTAAAATGTTTCTTATTAGAAGCCATTATTTTCAGCATCGACAGTCATCTTGTATGACTGACAGACACTTTTGACTGTCTTCTGGAAAACTTCTTGGATATAAAACACTGACCTTTCAAAGAGTAGTCAGTAAAATTATCAGTTAGTCCAGATAGCTTTTTTAGCTATCTGCAAATGATTAGATGAATCTTTGATTTCACTCAGTATGTTGTAAGATGGAAATCAATGATCATGTTTTCAAGTTTATAAATTGAATTTGCTTCAGTGTAGTATGAGATAAATTTTGCATTTCAGTTTTATTGTATGAAAAAGACAAAGACTTAGGATATCGTTAACAGGTTAGTGTATAGAGTGTTTGTTTATACTTGTTTCCTTACTTACAAAACTCCATTCTGTTTTGAAAGACTCCTGCTGCGTTGGAGTTTTGGAAAATGCAACAGATCACAGAGGCTGTAGCTCATGGGGTTTTTTAAAACTTTTTAGTCCTTCTGCAAAAATACCTTTTTATGAAGCAAGTTGATTTACTATGCACCAACTTTTGCACAGTAAATTTTTAATGAAGTGGATATTTTTGCTTGAGTTTACCAAAGGTCAGTTAAAAAAATGTCTGTGAATCTGTGGTTGTGTTCAGTCACGTCCAACATATGGTCTCATCTAACTTACTGATATGCTGATGAAGTCTAACAAATTGACTAAGAATGATTTGTATTGAGGCTTCTACAGAGAGTTGAGAAATTATAGCAGATATTACAAGCCATCATTATGGCTACTAGGGAGAGTGATAGAGGGGAAGTCATAAAAAATCTTTTATCTAGTCAAATATGCATATTCCAGAAAAAAATACTGGTTGTGGTAGAACAGAATTTGGTATCGAGGGTTTAGAGCATTTCCTCCATTCCTAGATACTGTACTTAGGGTTTAACAGGCATAATCCATCCTGGGTTGCTTTATTGGAGGTAGTTCAGACTTCCAGTAAATCTGGAAAACTACTGGATCCAAATGTTGCATGTAAGGGGTTACAGGCTCCTGATAGTACAAAAGGGAGGAAGTCAGCCTGGGTTTTTCCTGTCATCTGATAGAAAGGTTCTGTTCACATATATGCTACTTTGTTCCTCAGAGTTGTTGGGTAAGGAGATAACATGCCTCTTTTCTGGTTTTGTATCATACTAATGTAATGGTCAATTTTCCTGTGAGCCATATAGGTTGTATTTTGTTCCAGTTCTTGTTTCTAAATTCTTTTCTCTACCTTTTGTCCTCGCAAAGGTTAGGGCCTTGTATAGGTGGTGGAATGCCATTCCCTTCATGGTTTTGCTGAACTTCATTCTCCGAAGTAATTTTTAAAAGTAATTCTGAAGAATAAATCAGCAAAGTTGGATAATAATATTCTATTCTCCCATACCTTTGTTGTAAGCTGGTTTTTATCGAGCTGATTCTATTCCCTGTCTGCATAGTCATGTGTTCAAATACAATAATTTCACATATTATATATGGCATAAAAGTATTATTTGTGAGTGTCCTTTAAATTATAAATCAAAATTAATGTGGTAGATGTTTATATGTCATTTGAACAATATTAACAGAAAACTTGACGCTGAACATACTGTATAAAAATGGAACTATACTATGCATTTTTTTGTTTTGGATTGATCACCTCAAGTAATTGTTGAGTCTTCTACAGGTTTCTCAAAACAAGTTATTAAAAAGATGCCTTTTTTTTTTAATTCCTCCCTGACATAAGTGTCCTTGTATCAGCCAGCCCATTTGTAGCATGCCTCATATTTTTTTATTTTATACTTACTCATTTTTAAACCTTTTCTCTCAAGGTATTTCTTATTCAAAGTGGTGACCACTGGAACATTACAACATTCAGCAATTCATTTTCTTTTTATCCTTTTCAGAAAAAACATTCTTACTCATTTAATTTCATTAAATATTGTCCACTGATTGTACAGTAAGCTGTTAAAATAGCTTGCAAGACTTTAAGAGAAGTGACAAGGTCTGTTAATTGTGAAGCTAACATGTATTTTTTAGTATTTCATAAATGATCAAGCATTCACAGTATGTAAATTAATCACTGAATTAGGAAAAAGATATTTTTTTAAATATAACTTATACAGGCAAGCAACAAGGCACATGTAACTTTTGAAAGTGTAGTTTACTTCAGGATATTTAATTTGGGGATTTTTTTGCATTATATGCTAAAAGTTTTGTTTCTACTTTTGTAATACTGGAAGTAGATTTAATTCATTGTTATAGTACATGTACATTTTTACTTTGAAGTATAACAAATCCTGTTTTTTAAGTACTCGTAGATCAGCAGGAGGAACTTTCATTGCAGCTAATGAGCTTACTGATATGACAGTTCCTGAAGATTTATATAGTTAAAACTGTCTCTTCTTTTGAACATAATGACTTTCCTACTTTTCTATTAGTGTTCCAGACACAAAATATTTTGGTAATTTAGTAAAATTTACTAATTTCTTATTTTATGATATTGTAAAGAATTAGATTGCATTTATCCAGGCTGCTGTTTTACTTGATTGACTCTAATTTGCTCAGACCTTACAGGTAATAGTCTATAATAACACTGTAAAACTGTAGATTTTTCTTCTTCTAAAAGACATTAACCCATCACAGCTTTACAAACAATGTATCCATTTTCTCATTTTTGAAACTTTATTCAGTTTTTTTCATAGACAATTTCACTTCAAAATAAAAAAAGCTAGAAACCAAATTGTAAATGTGAAGTTTAATCTATATTCATGAAAAAGCAGGATACCTCCACCTACAATATTTAAAAACATTAGGACAGCATGAGATAAAAATATTAACATATATATGCATTCTGTTATTAACATATAAGCATTCTATGTCACAAGGAAAGGCTTTTTTTCCTACTGGAGAATTTCTAAGTTAATGGTAAATTTCTCAATACTATTAAATAACACTTATGCTATTCATTGCTTTGGCTTTTGTTTTGATGTGGGTCACAAATTCATAGGCTGTATTTTCAGGCCATCAAGATTGTTATGTTTGTTTGGGTTGTTTTTTCAGAAAGCAGTGCAAACTTCATGAGTTACTCCTTACTGTATTATACTCAGTCAGTACCAAAATCAAGAGGTAGTTCCACTATTTTGCAGATTACACAGATTTCTAAGTTCCTATAGCAGATTTACAGTACGAAATAGACTCATTGCGGAAGGTGAAAGCCGAGACTGGGAAAATGAAGAACTGCCCACTGTAGAAGATGGCTTCTAGACCATTTAAGGAACTTTGAAGGTGTACAAGTCTATGGGACCTGACAAGATAAATGCATGGGTCCTGAGGGAATTGGATGAGGAAATAGTAGCCCACTATTCATCATATTTGAGAAATGATGGCAGTCCAGTTAAGTTCCGGAAAAGGGGAAACATAACCTTCATTTTTAGAATAGGAAATAAAAAAGACCCAGAGAACTACAGGTGGGTCACTCTCACCTCAGTGCCTGGCAAAATAATGGAGCAGATCCTTGTGGAAAGTGTACTAAGGCACAGGGAAAATAATGAACTGTTTGATGACAACCAACATGGTTTCACTGAAGGCAAATTGTGCCTGACAAATTTGGTGGCCTTCTACGGTGGGGTTACAGTGATGGTGGATGAGGGAAGGGCAATAAATATCATCTACTTGGACTTGTACAAAGCATTTGACACTGTCCTGCACAACATCCTTTTCTATAAACTGGAGAGACAAGAATTTAATAGATAGACCAGTGAGTGGATCAAAAATTGGCTCACACTAAGAGATTTGCAGTCAATATGTCAATGTCTAAGTGTGGACCAGTGACGAGTGGTTTTCCTCAGGAAACTGGTATTGGGACTGGTGCTTTTTAACATCTTTGTCAGTGATATGGATGGT